AATCAGTATAAATCTTGATTGTATCTCTCTAAACCTTTCTCTCTTTAATTCTGTTGCTGCCTTTATTTTGATTGTTTGTTTTGTTTGATTCAAGAATTGGTCAGAACTCTTAATCTTTGAAATAGATAATCTGTAATTTGCGAAAATCTTTCAAAGATCAATTCATCAAGAAATTATAAGAGCTACTTTCAAGAAAGAATCACACAAGTTTTGTGAAGTTTTTCAAAGTTCTTTCTTGAGGCATTTTCTGCATTTCTTTTGTGAAGAAACTCATTCTACAGAGCAGCATAATCTGGGTTTGGGTGTTCTAGTTTCTTCTCCTTTGTTCTTTTATATTTCATTACTGTATTGTGGGTGTCTAGAAGTGTGGGCACTGGTTTCTGTGGCTGGAATTTGGCTGCAGGGTAGTTCAAGAACTGGAAGTTGGTTCTTGGTGAAGGTTTAGGTGCAAGGACTGGAATTTTGGTTCTTGTGGTAGATTGGGTGTGTGATTGGAGTTGTAATCTGTAAAACGTTCAATCTAGTGGAATTCAGCTGGAATTTGGCTGAGAACTGGACGTAGCCCTGGGATTGGGTGAATCAGTATAAATCTTGATTGTATCTCTCTAAACCTTTCTCTCTTTAATTCTGTTGCTGCCTTTATTTTGATTGTTTGTTTTGTTTGATTCAAGAATTGGTCAGAACTCTTAATCTTTGAAATAGATAATCTGTAATTTGCGAAAATCTTTCAAAGATCAATTCATCTCCCCCCTCTTGATCTCAACCTCATTTTCTAACAATTGGTATCAAGAGCAAGGTTCTTGAAATTTACTCAAGTCTTTCGATCCAAATGACTGAAAATAATTTTTCTGAGGGTGCTTGTATTAATAGACCTCCATTGTTTTGTGGTACAAATTATTCATTTTGGAAGATAATAATGAAGATCTTTATTGAATCTATTGATATAAATGTTTGAAATATTATTGAACAAGGCTCTTATGTTCTTAACAGAGAATGGTCCAGTTTGAATGACTATGAAAAGAAACAAATTCAAGATGACTATACTGCTAAGAATATCATTACAAATGCACTTAACAGGAATGAATTTTTCAGGGTATCTCATTGCCAGACTGCTGCACAGATGTGGAAAACTCTTGAAATGGCTTATGAAGAACAAGAAACAACAGAGATGTGTTTGATGGTCAATTGGAATTCTCCCATGTCCAGTGTAAGTTCTGATTCTTCAACAACTACTATGAATTACAGTTCATTACAAGATGCTTTTTATGAAATGCATGCAGTAACTAAGAATTAGAAATTGAAAACAAAAGATTAAAAAGCATGAATAGTTTATTAGAAAACAAAATCATTCTTCTTGAAAAGAAAATTCTTGATGAAGAAACTAAGAATGAAAATATGGAAATAGGTAATAATAATTCTGATTGCATGTGCAATGATAAAAAAGATTGTGAAAATTGTCCCGAGTTACAAAAGAAATTAGCATATTTAATAAAACTACATCTAAACTTGCACAAGGAAAAACCAGTCTTGATGTTATACTTAATTATCAAAAGTTGGTTATTGATCGTGGTGGTATTGGTTTTACACCTCTTGTTGAAAAGAAAACTAGAACATTTAAAAACTATTTTGCATATAGTAAATATGTTTCGTCACCATTTATTACATGCTTCTATTGTATGAAAAGATGTCATTCTGTTAAGTTTTGTAGAATAAAAAATTATGTTATACCAAGAGGTAGAATGAAGTGGATTCCCAATAATTCATTTCAAATAACTTGATTGGACCCAATGATTATAAAAAAGGTACCAGATATTTGTTAAATCTGTTTTGCAGGAACAAAATCTGAAAGTTCTTTGGTACCCAATCAACAAATTTTGATTCTGGATTCATGGATTGAGTATTTTAATTGATATAAAACTATTTTAATCGATTAATTTCACTTATAGAGAATACCAAAAAAGTTGTCTGTACTGTTTTAATCGATTAAAATATGAATTAATCGATTAAAAAGTTGTTCGTACTTTATTTTGATTGTTTGTTTTGTTTGATTTAAGAATTGATTAGAACTCTTAATCTTTGAAATAGATAATCTTTAATTGGCGAAAATCTTTTAAAGATCAATTCACCCCCTCTCTTGATCTCAGCCTCCTTTTCTAACAATTTGACCTAAAAGAGTCATTGTGTCGGTTTTGTTGTTGGGTATCAAATGATCATCGTGTAGAGTTGTTCGACTTCAAATGGTCGTCGTGTCAACCTGTTCGACCTCAAAGGGTTATTGTGTAGAATCGTCCGACCTTACAAGGTTACTGTGTCAATTTTGTCGTCTGACCTCAAAGAGTCATTAAGTTATTCGACTACAAAGGATCATCCTGTAGAATGGTACAAGCTCAAAGGGTCATGGTATCGAGTCATTGGATCACAGATGGTCATCGTGTCGGGTCATCCGACATCAAAGAATCATTATGTAATTGTATCAAATCACGTCAAAACCTTAGGATAAACCTACACTAAAATAAGTCAATAATTATTTCTAAATATAGTTTCAAAAACATAATAATTTTAATATATATATATATATATATAATCAAATATCTTATTTATTAATTTTACATTTGTTTAATGGTAAATTATATATAATAGAATAATAATATTTTTATTCATTGAAATATAACAAGGTCCTTTCTTTCTAAAAATAACAAATAACATTATAAATATATAACTATTAATCTAGTATTTTTTTTTAAGATTATTGTAAAAAACACACTCCTCTTTTCTTATTAAAAAACATGATAACCTTAATGAAAATTATAATATATTAATATTTTTTATTAAATTATTAAATTAAAAAATTATATTATATTTTCAATTTACTTACTTTATAAAGAACCTAATCCTATGTATATATATAATACATTTTTTAAACTGATTAATAAGAAATTGGTAAATGGACATATAATAATAATAATAATAATTAAATAAATAAATAATAAAAATAAAAATAAAAATATATTTTAATCTTATATGTGATGCTTATATATTATTCATCAAAATATTGTGGTAAGAGGTACATAAGTTTGTAACTTTTTTTAAATCAATGAAATAATAAATTTATTATGATGTTTTCTACTTTTAGAATTATTTTCCATGTTTATTATCTTCTCATGTTTTTTATTTCTCATATTTTTCTTGGTTTTTTCTCTTTCGTATAGTAAGAAACATTTTATCGTTTCTCCATGAACAATGTCAAATATTGTTATCCAAAAATTCCTAGATTTTGATTAGTTATGATTCTAATTAAGTGAATGACGAGCTTCATTTTTGTTGGAGTATGAAAGTTCAAATCAGTTCCCCTAAAACAATAAGAATGTAGTATAATGCCAAAATATCAATCCAGCAAAGCAGTGAGAATAGGTGAATGAGCTATGAATGATTTAATAGGAAATGAATGAATGAAATATACAATGATAAAATGAACTAAAATGAGGTTAAAACCTAATATGTAATGAATGAAAATGATATAGAATGCAAAATGGATGAAACTGTGCAAAATCACAAAAAGTACAAATCTGACCGAGTTGAACAGTACCACCTGTCATAATCACAAATTTGATCGAGATAAACAGTAACACCGGTCATAAAATCAATATCTCGGTCAAAACGAAAATATGAAGAGATGTTTTGCTCAAAAATTGAATGCAGTGTATAAAATATATGATTGACCGATGAAAATGAAATTATTTTTGAGTTTTGAGCTTTTAAAATGGAAGTGTTAACCGTATGAGTGTGTGGCTGGTGCGCGTGGTTCAAAACCTGACCACGGTGAACAATGTCACTCGATCAGAAACCAAAATAGTGGTAAATGTAGTGTGCGAACGATGGAATGAATGCACCAATGAATATTTAGGTATTTTTTTCAATATTTTCAAGGGGATTTGCAGTTCAAGACAGTAAAACATGAATTCAAATGCACCTAATCTATTCTAACTAAGCTAGTGCATGAAATTGAATCTAACAATGCCATCAACCTAACCGGACCTAAAACTAATGATCTAAAGCAATTACAGAGACATTAAACCAGTATATCAAAGGATTAAAATCTACCTAACGTGGTTGCAAGTGACTTAGAATCAGTTTAGAAGTGTTACAACCTTCTCAAAGCATAAATCATCCTAATTAACTCACCCTTCAAAAGACATTTGAGTGACCTACGCCTATGTCCAGTTGAAAGAAACCTTTCCTCACCAATTAGAACTCACAAATAGTCAGGTTTCAAAACATTTAATCGGTAGAAATCATAAAGAAAGCATTATAAACTGCACGAAACTTAAAGAAAATCAGAAAATAAGAACATAACTCAAGAACACATACGAAGAATCATATGACAAGGTTTTTTAAATTACACCCTTAAAAGAAAAATTTGCATTGTGACCAAACAGTTAGATAGGTTGATAATTTATTTGAATATAATTTATTTGGACATCATATTATAGATATGTATAAATAGAAAGGGATAAAAAAAAATTAACAAACTTATAATCTAAAAATGCTAGAACTTATTAAAAAAAAGTATATATCAAAATATTGAATATTGTTAGAATAAATAAATTTTTCATTTTATAAAAAACTTATATTAGTTATATAAACAAAAATTTTAATAATATGTTGAACAAAAATATATTAAATGAATAAAAGAAGGGATATCATATTATTGAGCCCAACGTTGTTGAAAGAGCATAAAAGATGGTGTAGAGTGGATATTTTGGCAGGCCCATGATCCATATTGTCCTAAGTACAGAAAAGTATGAAAAATAAAATAATGGCCCATGCAGGTCTCGAACCTGCGACCTTCGCGTTATTAGCACGACGCTCTAACCAGCTGAGCTAATAGGCCTTATGTTTTAAGTATTCTAACATAATATATATGATGAGAAATGTTTGCAGGACTATTAAAAGAAGATAAGAAAGAGATTGAAGATAGAAGGAGGGGCATGAATGAATGAATGGATAACATTACAGCAAGTGAAGTAGCTGGTTTGGGGGTGGGTGCTGTGCTCCTCTCTGCCACCCTTGCTGCCACCAAAGTTGATGCTTTCTTCTCTTCTTCTCAACGCAGGTTCTCTATATCTCTCTTTCTATGTGCATATTTCTGTTTTATAATGAGGTTGGTTGAATGTACTTCAAGTTCTGTTCTTTTTTGTGGCTAGTGTTGGATTCTTTTGTTTCCTTTTATAACTTGACAGAATGGTAGTAGTTGAGGAATAGAAAGACAATAGATTGTGTTTGTTTGGGTTTCATGGATCCTTTACTTGCAGCTCATTGGGGATGTGCAAGCGATGTGGCAACCTGAAGCGTTTGGCTTGCTCCACATGCAGAGGAACTGGGTCCATCAGAGAAGGGGGAATACTTGGTCTACAACATTTGTTTCAAACACTTGGTAACTCTGAGTCAAATGTTAATCTCACAGCATGTGTAAAATGTCAGGCCAAAGGTTATTCTCCTTGTCCTCTTTGTTCTCAACTCTAATCACTCTGCTTTTTTCCTCTCTGCCTCCGATTATATAACATTCTCAATTCTCATCATCATCAATCATCATACCTTACCATGCCTTCTTCCTACGTCCAACATAATTACCACTTTTTAATACTATGTATACTCTTTTGCTTCCATCTTATACAGCAACTTTCAATATTACTATAAACACTAAAATATTTTATTTCTTCAATATGCACTCTACCAAGAAAAAATTACTTGCTTTCAATTGCAAGGGACACAAATATATGGTAGAACAAGAAACAATTACTATATTGCTAACATTAACTCACATTTTTCTTAAAAAGTTCACATCAACTCAACTTAATAATATTGCTGCACTTTTCTTACTACCAACAAATACCACAAAATCATGTTCACTGCACAAAACAAGTCTACAACATATTTTATTTATCTATTTTTTATTTTTGGTAACTATATTTTTTTTCATATATATCTAACCTATTTCCACTTGACAGAACATTCATTAATGAAGGATTTTTGAATTTCAATGCAACAGCACCGAATCACGTCATATTGTTCTTTAGTCTTACTTTTTCCCCTAATCTACGTTGATTTGTCAACAACCAACTTAAAAAATATGAATGCTCCATTAATGGTATTGTGAATTCTGTAAAATAACTCAATTTGTGGGTTCAGCATAATTTTCTTCAACATGGATGGGTCCATATATCCATAATTGAACAAGATACATCGTATTGTAAGCTCTGCTTGCAGAAGACAACCTAATCTTCTGAATAAACAAGGAATAGACTTTTTCATAGAGAAGCTGTATCAATAAAATTAAACTTCATCCTTATATATAATATATATTATGCTTGCATGGGTGCTAATCACCAATTTCATTAAAGAATATATAATGAAGTTCTTCATTAAATACGAACATATAGATTAAAAAAAGTTGTAATGTAAGGGTTAATTTTCATAAGTAAAGATTTGAACGTATAAAATCTTTGTTAAATCCGATAATCTTAATACGACAAGAGAAACCCTAGACCAAAATATTGAGTTGATATTTTGTAATCCCAATTACCAACATATTATTTTATGAAGGTTTTTTCAATTAACGTGGGCACTAAATCAAATTATCTAAATATCAAAGCATTAACAATTTAATTCTTATTAAATTAGGCTGTGTTTATAATTTTCTATTATTATTTTGGTTAAAAATTCAACCTGTAAATTGAAATATTATATTAAATTAAAATGAAAAATTTTTGAATAATTTATAAACAATAAAGATCTATAATCTAATATTTTAAAATTTTTATTGAAAATAATATCTTATTTTTTTTAATAGTTGACTCATATTTTATTTATGAAAATATTTATTATCATTCTTAAAATTATCCAACAATTTTTATTTGTAAATTTACCCAAAGTATGGACAGTTTGATCTCCTAAAGAAAACTCACCAAGTTAAATTTAAATTAGTTAATACCAATTGATTTTCTCAAACTAATAAAATAAGAGCATGATTAATAATTGTAAGGTGTCCTTTCAAAATCATATTAATTATGTCACCATCATATATAGTTTGCAACTAAATGAAAATGACACGAAGCAAAAACAAAATAGAATTGCATAGATGACATCGTTTGAGTGTTATATATGCAATAAGAAGAGTGAGACAGCATGTGAAACTAATCATATTGTATCCAAAGAAAGAACAATTCAAACTCTAGCTAGAGGTTTGACTTTGCATGGAGACCATGGATCATATGCTTCTGTCAAACTGGTACAATGTTCAATCCTCAGTGCCCCCATCCTATGTGCAATTACCAGAAAATAGACCTGGAAAGGTAGTTAGTTCTTCACATAAGGCAATACCATTGATTGATCTTGGAGGACATGATCATGCTGATATCACAAAACAGATTCTGAAAGCCTCTGAGGAATATGGCTTTTTCCAGGTTAATTTCAATTTCACTGCAAAACTTTCTCCACTCTCTGTTTGTTTTTGTCTTTCTGTTTTTTTTTTTTTATCCAATTTTAATCCACCTATTACTTGTTCCTAATCTTTATCAACTTTTACATGTTATAGTCAATTTTCAAAAATTCAATTTCATGTTACAGTACGATTTTCAAAATCATAAACATGATGCCGTATATTATTTTCTTGTTTATTTAGTATGACGTTTATACTCTTATATCTATCTTTTAGATATTTAAAAAAAATGGAAGTTGTTTTAAATAACTTTAGTATAAATGTAAATTATAGATATGAAAGAGATAAAATTTAGGTGGTTCCACCTATCATGTAAATTGTATCTGAATCTTGTTTATTTGTCTTTCTCCATGTATAGTTGTATGTGCACTAAATATGTACACTAAAAATGATAGTATTATATTTCTTTTTTGCCGTCTTAGTATATTTTAATGAATCATATTTGATGAGAATTTTTTTTCTGTAAATTTTCTAAAAAAAATTTAGGAAGAAAACTGAATTGAAATCACATGTTAATTCGTTATAAATAACTGATATCAAAGTTTATCATCCATTCGATAATTAATAAAGATGAATATAATTGGAATAAGGAACAAATTTTAGATTCTAAATTTTTGTATCAAAAATTTTCGATAAAAATTTAAGCAATTAGATTAAATGACATTATAAATAAGATCACTATTGATACAGCAGTTATTAAAAAATGTTTTTATTAAGGAAAATGTATACAAATAATGTAAAAAAGAATTATTAGAAATTCAAATATATATTTCCTATATTATTCTTTCATAAATATCCAACAAATTATTTAGAAAATGAGCATTTCTGTGAACAAATAAAATTGAATATTTTATTATATGTATAATTATTGAATTGCTTAAAATTTAATCATAGTTATTTATACAAATAAATTTCTTTTAATTTTAAGTAATTTTCTCTATTTGTAAACAATTTAAATATGAGATTTACAGGAAAATATTTATTTTTATTCTTAAATAACTCTTGATACCAACTCCCTTTAAAGATGAAATGAATTTTATATATAAAAATAAAGTTTTTATTGTATTTAATTTGGGATTGAACGATGTTGAACGTCAATTTCAGAAGAGGATTGGGTTTATTGTGAATTGAAAATGAGAATATTCTAAAATAAACGCATACTAGGTAGTTTTTGGTTTTGTTATTGTTTTCTATGGTTCATATATTACTATAACGTGTTCTATAGTATATATATTTGACGTACGACTATTTCTATTCGACAACAAAAGTTAAATGAAATCATGTTTGTCCAACATGTGTTATTGAGTTTATCTTAGACTAAATATATATGACATAGAAAATTGACCTAGTGGAGAAAAGTTTGAAATAGGTAATCAACCATGGAGTTTCCCACGATTTGATTGATGAAACACTGAAGATTTTTAAAGAATTTCATGGCATGTCTTGGAAAGAGAAGGTAAATGAATGCTCTAAAGACCCAAATGGAAGCTGCAAGATCTACACAAGTGGTGAGAATTACCAGAAAGATGCGATTCAGTATTGGAAGGATTCACTGGTACATCCTTGTCCTCCTTCTGGGGAAAACCTTGAGTTTTGGCCTCAGAAACCTTCCAACTACAGGTAAACTTTATTTTTCATATTTTGATTTAATATAGTTTCTTTTTATTTTTATTTTTATTTTTAATTATGATACTGTTTTCATCCTAATTTTTATCTTTAATATGAATGAGTTAGAATCGACTAAAATATTTCTATAATCGAATTATAATATTCGTTAGAAATGATAAAATCACTAACTTGCTTATATTTATTTTAGAATTCATTTGAAATTTATTGAAAATATATAAAATAATTAATTAACATTATGTTGACATATACAGAGGTAAACTTGAATAAGAAATTTCTTATAATTATTTTTAATGAAATTTTTAATAAGAGTTTTTTATTAAGAGAAACAGTTTAATATATCCAATAAGAATTCCTTGTTGTTTAAGAAAATTTCTTCAATTTTAAAACTCATGATGATCTTCATTAAAATAATAACATTATTGATAAGAAATTCTTATAGGAAATCTTTTACATTACATATTATATAATTTGAAACAGTGAAATCTTTTACATTTAATTAACCAACTAATAACAAAAGCTTTGATGTTGGAACTTTTCAGGGAGGTTGTTGGAAAATACACAAGAGAAATGCACAAACTCACCCTTGAAATCTTGGAGATTCTTTGTGAGGGATTAGGGCTTGAGGCAAGATATTTCTGTGGTGCACTAACTCAAAATCCATCACTCTTGGCTCATCACTATCCTCCATGCCCTGACCCAACTTTAACACTGGGTGTAGCTAGGCACAAGGACCCTACAATCATCACCATTCTGCTTCAAGATAAGGAGGTTGAAGGACTTCAAGTCCTCAAGGATGGGGAATGGGTTTGTGTTGACCCTATTCCCAACGCTTTTGTGGTTAACATTGGTTTACTCTTGCAGGTTACTCACTAAATATCAAGCATTACAAATAATATAGAGATAGGGTTTGTCAAATTCTTATCAAACTTCTTAATTGTTGGAAGTCTCACGTATGGAACATGATTTAATTACATGCTAGGCTCCATATATTATTATGTTAACATTAATCTTGGTGTTATTATTATTGCCTGAAAAACAGTGAATGCTGAACGAAATTTGATCATCAATTTGTTCTCTTGTTGCAGATGATCAGTAATGGAAGGCTTGTTGGTGCAGATCACAGAGTTGTGACGAATTCGAGGATTGCACGCACAAGTGTTGTATATTTCGTTTATCCATCATTTGAAAGCATCATAAAACCTGCACAAGATTTGATCAAAGGAAGCAATACTCCACCATTGTACAAATCCATGACATTTAGAGAGTTTCGTACAAATTTCTTTCACAAGGGTCCCAAGGTTGAAGAAGATTTGCAATAACTCAAATAGTGCATGCTTATAATCTTATCATAAGTGTTCATAGAACCTACTTGTGGATTATGGTTTTCAAAAGATTAATCCTATGTTGCATGTGTGCATATATTGAATAAAAAATATATATATATATATATATATATATATATATATATATATATATATATATATATATATATATATATATATTTTACATATTTATAACAAACATATGACTTAAATAAACTTTTAGTTTGTGTAATTTTAGTTCCTCTATAACTTATTTTATGGATGTCTTTAAACTTAATAGTTAAATAGTTAATATTTAAAGAGGTTTAAATATATTTTAGTTATATAAATTAGATGGGTTCACAGTTAAGTTTATTACGATTTTTTATTAAATAGTAATTTGAAGTAAATATATAAATCAAATTATATATGGTATTATTTAGTTTAATTTAATTTAATTTAAAATATAAATCAAATTACGGATTAAATCGACTTATGTATTTTTTGTTATTATTCAAATTTCAAACATTTAAAAAAATTATTAAATGTTTTATAATAAAAAATAGTCAAATAAAAATTCGTTTTATGAATTATTTTTGTGTACTTATTATATTTATATTTTTAATTTTTCCTTCAATTTATAAATGAATTATGTAATCTCATAATTACAAATTATAATATAAATTTATTGTAATATTTTTGTAAGTATTATTTTTGTGTAATTATTGTATTTATAATTTTAAATTTTTTTCTTAATTTATAAATAAACCATACAATTTCATAATTAAAAATTATAATACAAAATTATTATAACATATTTACTAGTATAAATATATTGTATGTAAAATATAATTAAAAATAATATTCAATAATCATACTTATGTGTTTATTATTTATTAATCAATTGTAAATATATAACCTAATAACTAATATGGTTTGGTTTATATTTTCAATCCAAAATATAAATCAAAGTGAGGTTGAGTAAAATATTGATCTAAAAATTTAAAGAAAATTTGATTTTCAATTTTCTGAATCGATTTTTTATTATATTTATCGATTGATTTTATTCTAATAACTAATGACTCTTATTCTATTTTTTTGAAATATTATTTGTTTTTCTCCTTATAAAATTTGAAATTATTATTTTTTGTTTTTGAAAAATGTATGCAATTTTGTTACTGCATTCCATAAAATTAGATTCATTATTTTTAGTTTCAATATTCATAAATAAGTAACTTTTATTTTATCAATTTTACTAAAGTGACATATGTCAATATTATATTAAAATACTATTATGTATTATTTGAAATGATAATTTGGTCATTTGCTCAAAACATAAGTAGTCAATGAATGTCATATGCTAAATATTAAAAGTGATAATTTTCAGTTTTTCAGAAACTTAAAACAAATTAAAAAAAAAAAACTACATACACGATTTTTTTTTAATTCTCCATATATCTTATAAGAAAATAAAAATGGGAAATATTTTTTTAACAGTGTTCAACACTTTCTTTATTTAATAAATAAGAGAATGTCACGGTAAAAGTCATCATTTTTTTGTAAGTCAATTTTTTGTATTACTATATTTTAGCATTTAAGTCAACATTTTTTAATTTAAGTAGAACGTAATTTTATTTCTATATTTTTACAGGTTTCTGTAAAATTTTAACTAAAATGTTTTTCTACATAATATTTAATTCTATTTTATTTATTAAAAAATAAATTTTAAAGGATATTAAATTTCACTTACCCATTAATTAGTATAATTTTAATGATAATTTTTTTTATATATTTGTTATTTCTTTTGTTCAATAAATCGAAATCGTTTGTTATAATAGGTTTATGTCACATTGAGAGTTTTTTTTCTTTAAAAAGAGTTATTTATATAACGAATCATTTTTCCTTTTCAAAATGTGTTAATTTATTGAATTTCCACTGTTGGAGCAAAATTTTACAGTAATTGTTTGACGAGCAATGAGACATTGTCATCATACATAATTTTTAATACACTAATAAAAGTCTTTCCTAATTTTCCAATTTGCAATTATTTTAAGGAACACGTGATGAAACTATAATTTAAATTTTAGATTTATCTAAAGCCCGTTATATTATTAAAAAAATTATTTTTAAAAGTTAAAATTTATTAGTATTAGTTCCCTATAATGATTTGAGGATAATTTTAAAAAATCTTATAATTACAGAAAGTTTTATTTTTTAATTTAAATAATTAATTATATTAATAAGCATAAATGAGTTATAAAAACAGGAGCATTGCCACTGGTTTTAAGGAAGCCCATAGTTTTGTGTGATAATTGACGTTAAAACTCAATGTATTCATTACGATTTTGTTTCTAAAATATTTTGTGAGTTCAAAAGAGAAAGATGCATTAAATTATCATTAATTTCTCAAATAAGTCTTTTATTGAAGAATTTCTGTAAAATTTATTTTTTCATTTCTTATTATTATTAACATTCGACTATTCAAATGGGTCAATGGATGAAACAAGAGGTAGCATGTCCAAGACTTGTTAATTTCTCTGTTTGTTTTTGTTTAAGGTTTAGGATTTAAGATTGTCTGTGATATTTTACGAACAAAATATATGTGATAAATATGTGTTTTTCCCTTTTAAAATGTGCTCTTACAACACCAAAATGGAATATAAAAAATTAAGAGGGAGAAAGAGAGTGAGAAATGAACTTTCAATAAATACTATAAATTCTTGGAATATGTTAGGCAGATTTTTTGCTTTTATATTTTTTTCAAAATTTTTTTTTAAATAAAATAAGCAATTTTTTTTATATGCTTGTGTAATCTTTTTATTTTAATATAATCAGTTTTCTGTCTTTTTTTAAGAAATGAATATATTTCACCAATACGTAATTTTTAAAATTATAATTTTAAAATTACTAATTTTAAATTTAAACAAAAGTATGTTATTATATTATATTATAATTTTAAAAATACTTATTTATGTGTTTCAAGCCGAATCAATGACTACATCATTCTAAATACCCTTAGATTAGGGCCAGATAGCTTGTATAAATGGACTGAGGGCCCATTTTCATTTTTCTCAGATCTTGCTGAGAAATCAACATTGTTCAACTTTTCTTCTTTTAATCTTCAAACAACACAAATGGATTTGAATTTGATAAACTAATGCACATAAATGAGTAGTTATATGTAAGAATTATTAATCTTTTAAAAATACATATAAATTCCAATCATTGATTTTCTTAGCTCAATCACTTTAAAGGTATAACATTAATCAAGTCAAATTGAAATTAACATAACAATTGTAATATTTAACTATGAGTTTATTTTGCTATCGAAAATTATTGGTTTTTTTTGAAGGAAATTCACCAAGAGACAAAATATACGTAAACCTAACTTACATAAGATATTAACATTATTTTTAACAAAAAAAATCTTAAAATATAAAATTATGAATTTTTTTTTATATATATTACTCAATTTTCTCATATAAAACTTAGAATTACATAACAAAAAAAACTTTATAAAAAAGTGATTTTAATTTAAAATCATATTTAACAAAACATAGATAAAGTGATTATACTATGTTGATTTCTAAACTACAAATCCAAAACTAACCACATGCTAACATTTTTCCCTTAAACTAAAAATTATTGAAAGAATCAAATTCTTTAGAAACCAATGAAAATAGGGGACACTTTTAGCTAATAAAAATATGGCAGGCTAGTGAGTAGTGTTCCTAAGATTGCACACTTAGCATTATACCAAAAGTGTATATAATACAAAAAATAAAACCAATTCCACGATTAATTCATTATAAGGTGTAAATTTCAAACCAATTAATAGATAATTGCTAATACAAAATGCAACTCAACTAAAGTAATAGAATAAATTGCAATTGAAACATCACTTTCATATGCCAATCATTTTCCACTTTTTTGCATCATCCAAACTCGAACCCACTTAAAAAAATTTGGTCTTGAAAAGCAAATAAATAAAGAGTGTGTACCCACAAGCCCTTTTAAGATTTTCAAATCTCATGTTATTTGCAATATCATAGGATTGTAATTGGAAAGTGGGATTTTTAGTTATGATTAGCCCAAATTCTTGGGCCATCCTTTTCAAATGATCCTTTCTACATGTGACACATTGAAAGAGTAGTTCCTTCGTTTAATTGATTAATTAATTAATTAATTTAGTAATTAAATTAATTAGCATAATGTGGTACTAGTTTATATATCCACCGACACAGATTCACAAAGTCATGGTCAAGGAAATCCACGAGTTTTTTAGAATAACGAGGGGATCAAGTCAACCTTGAGCCTGTGAAATTTGCACTCATTCAAACACAAACTTCAATGGTTTTTTGGTTTGTGACAATCATTTATAAGTGCATATATACTATAACTTTCTCAAAATAAGTCACTTCAGCCAATGAATTTTCTTATATAAAGCATGTGATTAGGTAGGTTAGGAAGTATCTCACACATGCTACCAATCTCAAAGGAATTGATAAAACAAAACACTGAATCTTATGATGTGTTTTGTGTGGGATACAAGACCTTATTAATAACATAATATTTATTTCCTTCCTCTTCCAAGATGATTTGGTTGCTTTGTTCAACAGTAGTGGGGTTCATGTTCTTTTCAATTATGTCTTTTAAACTATCATTACTTGATTTCATTGAAGCCAAACTTTTCTTGTCAATTCAAAAGTACTACTCCATTGATGGCTAGAATTGTTTAACTTTGCTAATATGAACACATAAGATGTGAAATAGAGCTCATGAGTATTAATGTAGCATACATCATTTGTCTTTTGATGTAAGATTCGACCAATAACAATTGAACGTATGTTTTCGTAATATATAGTACAGTACAGCATTGTCGATTATGTTACAAAAGAAAGTGATATGTAACGACTATTAGAATATGATGTGTGGAAATGACATTTATAGTGAGTGAGTGGGAGAATCCAAATCCATTACAATCACACTTTTACAATGAGAAAGTACAAAACTTTCACAACTTTCAAACACTAGTAATCGCAAAGTTAATTTATTTAATTTTTTTTAAAAGGGTTTGATCTGGAAATGATAAGATTGAAAGGAGGGGATGAGAGAGGTGGGAAAAGGGGTGTACCAATTGGGCTCAAATTGCTATGTGACTAGTACTTGTCAATGGGTTTGTTTTGGTACCAAAGATGATTATGATATTCCCACACGAGGGGGTAACATGCAATATTGCAATGGGGTACCCTATTTTCCCTTGTTGTTTGTGGCATTAAGGGCAGTTAGTTCCAATTAGCCAACCCCACAAGGCGTTGAGCTTCATCCTCAATGTGGCCAAGCAATGACCGAATCACATGGGTTTTGGTGCTCTTGTGTAACATAAGGTTACCTAATGTGGTCTCAAAGTAAGGGTAACGTATAGGATTGTGACATGGAAAATGTCCCCATTCAACTTCATCCATTGCTTTTAAAATATCCATACATATATTATTAATACCATCAATTGGAACTTTGTGCTATTATTATATCATAGTATTTCCCCAAGTTTTGTTTTCATATACATTAATAATTAACTACCAAAGACAGAGTTTTAATTACATTATTATGAAACAAATATATGTTCCTCGAACAAGTTTTGAATTCTTTTACTTTATCCGTGAAAAATGAATTAGATAAACTGATCCTTCATAATCAAGATATTCCTCATCTAGTTTTATTGAAAGATTGTTGACGGACTAGCGAAACATTTCTTTAAAATGAAAATACCTTTATTTGGTTCTTGTTCATAAGATAATACATCAAGCATTATTAAAAAAAAAACTAATAATCGAAACATTTCTTTAAATTTTACATAAAATCTAAAGGCATATTGTAGTCTTAAAACAAATTTGCATGAGTGGGAATGAAGGATATAAAAGCAAAGACAAAAGCAGTTCAAATTATAGAACAAACCCAAATGGGGACCTTGTACACATGGGGTGGGGTGCTTCATCTTGTGCTGTGGAGCCACACACCATAAAGCTAAGAATCTTTTGCAAAAACATGGATATGGGGAAGGAGAAAGCCCTACTTACAAATATGTACACATCACACCAAAAAGTTAAAGATTGCTTTATATCTTTCAATCTTCCTAATCATAAGAAACACAATTGGTAGGGTTTAATGTGCATAAGAGAAGCTCATGATAAAAAAAATCAAATTATCTACTTCTATAACTAAGGGTATAATATTCAAGTAAAAAGATATACATTATAGTAAATAAAATTAAGAAAAATCTCGTATCATTAATTTCAACTTAAGATCAATTTAATCGCGATATGAGATTCATAATTATTGCATAAGTATATAATTAGTTCTATATTGTATTTTTCTGTTAAAATGGTATACTTGTTAATATATACATAATTATTTTAATCAAAAGATACTATAATAACTCATGAATACATTTTAAACTCTCCTTTTTTTTTTTGTTTTCCTTTCACAAACGAATGACAACAAAAATGCACTTAGTTTCTTGAAAAGTTATGAAAAGATAAAATGTTGCATCACACGTGCATATACTTCCAAAACCAACATATGGCTGATATACATTCACGCGTCATTTTTGAGTAAGATTTTCTTCGAATCCAGCTTTCCCAATGAATAATTAACACTTTTTCTTTTTTATATTTCTAATTTAAATTAGAAATGTGAAAGTGAGTCCATCTAACTCATTCATGTTAACTTGTTACGAGTAAAGTGTGTTATGACACTACAATCAAGAAATTTTAGGAGTTTGTTAAATTATTATTTTTAAAATAACTTGTTTAATAATTATTTTATCCAAATGGTTTTTAATTTATTTTTATATTTTAAAAATGAGGAATTGGAACCGTTTGTTTTGATTTTTCTTTGTATATTTTAAAATAATATTAATAATAATTTTGATGGTCTGTGCTTTACACTAAGTTAAAAAATTTATTAGATAATATTAGTTTGAAAACTGTTTCATTTGTAAGAAAGTGAGTTTAACAGTTTTTTTTCAACTAAGCCATGTATTACAACTCCTCGTAGATATGTACGTATAATTAATGAAAATATGAAATCAATTTCATGAGTTTCTATTTTTAATTTTTTAATTAGAAAATAAATCAATTATGTTAATAAAATAGTTATTGAACAAGATTTTTAGTTTTAAAAATAAAAATTAATTTTTAAGACAATAAATAATCAATTTTTGTCAATAACTCTTGTGTCTTATTACTCGATTTTGTTATTTTGAAGTGGTCGAACTTATCTTTCAATTTTTTTCGCACTTTCTTTTCATCGTGTGAATTAATTTGCAAACTAAAATCATTAAACTTTATTTGTCTGTTATTAAAAAAAGATTTTTAAAATACTACTAGAACTTTTTAAAATATAAATGAAAATTGACTAAACATAAAAATGTGAAAAATAAAAGATTGGGAAGAGGTTATAATACATGAAAAGAGAAGTGGGAAATCTTGGTCAAAGACAAGGAGACGGTTGTGAAGGAGCATCTTGACGGTGGGTGTTGTTCTCCACCAAAAAGATGACGATATTCAGAAGCATATCGATGAGGAATGACATGTCTCATCAATCAACTCTCTAAAGTTGATAAAGAATTAAAAATATACCACAACTCTACTTGGGATGTGGCAAACCATGTTATCTCTATGCCTCACCATCTACTCTAGTGAACAAACCTTACGATCCTTCCAGTAAAACATTTTTTTTTTAGTTTTTTATATATTATATATATTTATTTAAAGAAATCATTCATGAATTGAATTCTAACAACGTAACAACCTATTATTAAATATTCTCGAGAGTTAATAATAGAAATATTTTTATAAATGAAATACGAATCAATTATATAATATCACCCTTAATATAATGTTTTAATATTTTTATGCCCACAGTAATATTAATCTCTTATCTAAATTTTACTTATATTTTATTGGTAATGTATTCTTTTAGTGAATCTTTTTACAAATATGTAATATTAGAACCATAGAAATAAGAAACTTAAGTAATTTATAAGTTAGAAAGATACATAATCTAATGTTTTATAGCTTTGAATTGAAAGTGATATCAATACCTTACGTGGATTAGATTTATGTGTTATTGGTGTTTTTTTTTCCAATGAATTCCTTATAAAAACCTAATAATATATATATATATATATATATATATATATATATATATATATATATATAGTTAGAGATTATACCAATCAAATATGAGTTCAATTTACATCACGCCTACCTTCCATCAATTGTGGTCAATTTTCACGTTTAAAGTATTATTTATTTTAAAGTTCTAGTTATAGATTTATTTAAAAAAAAAGTCTCAATAGATTAAAATATATATATATATATATATATATATATATATATATATATATATATATTTTTTATCAATTAAAAAGAGAGTCACAAGTAACCATTAAATAGATACATACTTGTTCTTTTGACTCATGATCAATTACTCCTAGACCAATCTACTTTTTGTTCATTTACATAATGAGGGGCTTGAAAGAGCATGATCTTCACCATCTCTAAACAAGTGAGTCAGGGCAAGTTAAAAATAAGTATGATCAATTATAAAAAAAAAAAAACATATCTTCTTCTTTCCTTATTACTTATTTATAATATGTACATTGTTAAAAAAAAATTACCTTCTATCATGAAATAATTTATCTTTATAATTTCTAGCATATTTTAGTGTAATTTCAATCTTTTAAATTTTGTGGATGATCATATTTCAATCTTTTAAACCTTAACGACAATAAGCTTAAAACTTCTATGATAGTAGTTTTATTTTGTTGATTTTTATTTTAAAAATGTGTCATATGTATATAAAATCTTATGTAGAGGAAATTTCATTTTAAATAACTATGTGTTTTTTTGGCTTGTTATAATAATAGACACTCTAAACTTGTTTTAAAAAAAATTCTAATCAACTAAATGTAACATTCTCTACTAGTCAAAATTTATATAAAAAGAAAATAAAAGGTTTATTTCTACTTAACAAATGGTATTTCTACTTTATTTCTTAATTTTTAATCATTAAATATTCTAAACATCAAACAAAACAAAACATGAAGAATATAGATTAAAATGCAACTTCAAAGCAATTCCTCTTATCTCTATTTTAATGCTATTCAAAATATTTTACAATTAAAATTTATTAAAAGAGAAGTTTTTTGAAAGAAGTACTAAAATTGATGGCGGTATTAATAGTGCGTTGAAGAGAGGGAGGAGTAATAAAAAGAGTGTGGTGTGTGTCTGGGAGTGTGTGACGGAGTTACTCCACAGAGTGAGGTGTAAAATTTGGGTGCTTGGTTTGGTCCATAGTCGTTACCCTCCCTCTGCAAGAAAGGACAGTGTTGGGTTATGTGGTTGGGGTTAGGGTTAGGGTTAGGGATGAGGTGGGTCCACGCAGCAGCATCGGTGAATGGTGGGTGTTTAATACAACCTTGGTGAGTGCCTCGGGAGTGTGAAGAAGCGTGTGCACGCATGGCGCGTAATTAATTAATTAACACTGCCACGGCACAAGAAGCAGTAAATGCGACACGCACGCACGGTGGGTGGTGGTGACGGGAATGAGAATGAAAAGGTGGGTGACGTTATCGTGGCTAACGGACAAGGCAAGAAGAAAGTAAACAAATGCAATGCATGCACACACACTCACAGAGGCGGAGGAAACAAAGACCCCACAAATCCATCAATTCACTGAAAATAGACAGCTGCACGTGGACATGACCTACCACACGTGCACTCGATCATCACGCATACTTATGCATACCCATTCTCATAAACCACCTTCTATATGCTCATAATTTTAATAGAGATAAATTAATTAATTAATTTTAATTTTTATATATAAAAAGTAATTTACCTTTTTCTGAATTTTTTATTTTAATAGTAATTTTTTTTCACCTTATTAAGTGGGTAAAGTTGAGAATTCAAATATTAATTAAAATTCCACTTCAAATAGAAATAAATAATTAAATAATTTTAATTAAAACTCATCAACTTAATATTTTAACATTTTAAATTAAAAATAGTATTATATTATTTTATATTTCATTCTTAAAAATCTTCCTTTATTGAAAATATTAACATGTAAATTATAATTAGGTTTTATTGTTATCACTTCAATTTTTTTATTATGACAAATTGAAGGAAAATAAAAAATTAAAAGAAATTAATTTAGTTAATTTCTTTTAGAATTATCAGAAAATCAAATCAACCTTAATTATTAATAATATTTAAATTTTATTATTATTCTTTATTTTTATTATTGGAAACATATTCATTATATTTATTAGAAATAAAATAAATCAAAATTTAACATATTTTATAAAAAATAACAATTCTTATAAAATTTGTCTCTTCTTATTTTAATTTATAAATGATTTTTATATAAATCTTCGTATTTAAAAAAAAAAATCTCTGTCTTCTCTCTATTTGCTTTTCAATTCAAGTTGTTTCTTAGAAAAAAATAGAACATTTTTCCATTTCTATTCTTTTAAATAGTTTATCTAAATATGTTAAAAATCATAATATATATTATTTGATTAGAAAAAAAAACACTTTTTTTTCTAAAAAGTTGTTAAACAAAAATATCCATAGTTTAATGACAGGATGAAATGAAGTATAAAAGATAAAGAATATATGAAAAAAAATAATAGGGAATTTCATATTTTTCATATTACTTTTCTTCTTTAATTCTCCTACCCCAAACATAACCTACATTGATTTCATCACTTAATTAAACACACAGTAACAGATTTTGGGTATGGCAATATATATTATTAGTATAGCATCACACTGCTTAACTCTCAAAATTAAAAAAAAAAAATGTTTACAGAAATATTTATACACATCACTCATCAATTAATTTATATGCCTCTAATTCTTACTATGTGATAATCTTATTTGGTCAAATTAATTTATAGATGATACTCTTTCCAAATTTCGAATATAAATAAAAATATCTCTTGATATTAGTCTTAAATATAACTTAATAATTTTTATTTGTAATTTCTTATAAAATATTTTTTTATAAAATTTTATCGAAAACAAATTTTTAAAAAATAACAAGTTTTAAACGAGATTGATAGAATGTTAATTGATGCTGCGAATCAGCACTAGTTAAACATTTTCTTAGATTAGTTAAAGAAAACTTTTTATATATTTAGAGACTGAAAAATGCCCTAATTAAATTTTAAATATTATTTTACAATATTTAAAAGAAATTTTAGAAATAAAATATATTATTTTAATTTTATAAATGGATTAAAATTATCAAAGACATCTTTAATAAAAATCTTGAAAAATATAAAACTATATTTACTCTATCATGTTACATTAAAATATATATATAATTAATTTTATTTTTATAAAATATTTAAAAAAAATCTTAAAAAAGTAGAAGGAAGCATTGACGTTCCTTTATGAGGCCTGCAAGGGAAGAAAACCGAGAATGGAAGGTAGTGCTCCGTTTGCAGAGAACGCATTAACTCCCTTCGCTTGTATATTTATTCCTTTCGAACATGACAACTGAGATTGTGAGTCTCAAGAAATGAACACCACCACTTTGGAAAATCAAATTTCTCTATTCTTTCCTTCGTACTCTTAAATGCATCAACTATTAAATAAATAAAAAAAATACAAACAGCGTAAAGCAGTGCACTCTAAATAATTTTTAGCTTTAAGTGAAAATCATTTTTGAAAAATTCTCTTAAGTCAAAATTTCCTCCACATTTTCCTAAATTATGTTTTTAGGTGTTTAAAATTTTATTTTACCTTATTCACTGATAATATTATTAAATAAACTTCTAAGATAAATATGATTAATTTTTACGTTTGAGATATTATTTTTAAATTTTTCGTTTGTCATATTTTTCTTTTAAATATCTTGATAAATTAAGAAAAAAAATTGTATGAGATTAACGGATGTATGGAATTAATTATAGATGAGTTGAATATGAGAATGAAAAATTTATAATATAGATTAATATGAAAATGATTAATTATCGTAAATGTATCGTTAATTTATGGAAGCTATCGAAGAAAAGTCAAAGGTTGCTATGAGAGATATATATGGATTCCATAATAATAGCAACCGAGTTGGAATGGCCCCAAGAAACAAGCAGTTGAGACTACTGAGCCTGAATTAGGGTTAGACCACTAAAAGTTTGATCAAAGGATCCTACATAAGCAGGAACATCCGTTTCATGCTACCTAGTAGTGTCCTTTTCAATGTCCACAAGATGACATGCATGGAGAGTAAATAAGAGAGTGGTAACAAGTTCAGCTTTATCCTATCGTTACTGAACGTCATTATTAGATCAATTATGTAGAGTGTATTGATGTTGTCACAAAACAGAACCCAACCAAGAGGCTACCATGAGAAGCTCTGGAGCAAACGACAATACAAGTACACTATTTTCCACTATCAAGACACACACATAGGGAGAGACATTACATTCAATTGTCTTATACAATATTTTATATTAATAATATTGAGATAATGACTAAAATTATCAGTATATTAATGATGTAAATCTTATTTTATAAATTAATTTTATAAGATTAAATTAAATTTTTTCGCTTTTAATATGAAGAGTTATAATAGAATTAGGGCATGGTGGAAGAATGTTTTGTATTATTTTTATATATTTTGTTTTATGTTCATCTTACGATATCATTTGAAATCGATCTTGACTCGTAATGATGTAAGATTTATAAGAATAACATATCATCTTCTATTTTATCAAATTATGTTCACTGTTATAATTTTACAGAGACCAATGTAGATTTATGTTATTCTAACTCTACTATTATATATATATATAATTGTTCTATGCAAAGTGATTTTGCATGTAGAGTATTAAGAGAAGAAGTTAGATATCAGTGGGTCTAATAACCAAAAATAGGTTTGTGTATTCAAGAGTGTAAAACTTTTGTTCTACAGTGAATTAAAGAGGTTTCGAAACACACATCATCCTAAATAAAACGAAGGTCGAAGTGAATTTGTAACGACAAAAACTGTGATAAAGCTACAACATATATGGTTAGGTTAGGTGATAGAAAGTTGGGCAACACAGGGTTCGCAATTGGCGTGGTTGATAGAAACAGATGAAGGTGTTGATAAAGGACCGTGTCAAAACAAAGATGCAATCATTCATAGCGTAATTTGGAGGGGAAACTAATATGTAATGAAAAAGAAAAATATGATATGATAAAAAAGAACTAGTGTAAGGAAGCGAAAGTTTTGAAGCTTGAAGGCAATAGAATCAGCCAAAAACGGAGCCGTAATCAAAATGGTATGCATTGGCTTTATTCAGACAAAGTGATCAATGAATGTTTCTCACTAGAATCCCATTAATGTGGTGAAAGATGGGATATATAGCATTTAGTATGTATCAGGGACAAGCCAGCTATGATTGGGAAAGTTCAAAATAAGCAGCCAAACAATGTTGAGAAGAAGAGGACAACCCCACGAGAATTGACCAAAAGGGTCGAGCGACAAAATCTCATACCTAAAACAAGAAAATAGCTAGCTAGGGTTAAACCCTAAAAAGGTTGGCTTAGCTAGGGTAAATATGTTGACTCTTTCTCAAGTCTTAGTTGGACCCGAAATTGTGTTTCAATTTCAATAGTTTTTGTTTGGTTGGAAAGCCACTCACGTTTGCACGTGTGCACATGTGCAAGCATGTATGCATTTTAGAGAGAGAAATAGATAGAGAGATGCCCAATTGCAATTATTAGAGAAAAATAATAATTTGATGGTGGAAAGGAGAAGTAGAAGGAAAAAGGTACTCAATTTCTGGCAAGGAAAAAAAAAGCACTAGAAAACAAAATAGAGGCCCTCGTGCAAACTTGATGTCTCAATGTACATAAAAAAATTTGGTTTAATCATAAATAAATGAGAAGAGAATAAGCAAAGGAAAAAATGGTATATGCTACATGCGTGCGTGTGGGTAGACATTCCTCTCACCTTCTCTTTTGCATCCATTGTTATGGCACTCTCTTTCTCTCTCCAAACCAATTATTACACACTTTTTTCTTCAACCCTAACGTGCTTCTACGAATCCTATCTGTAGTTCCATGAATCATTTTCATGATGCACCAATTAGTTCCTATCATATGCGGATAGATATATTCATATCTTTCTTTTGCATAATTTGCTTTCGGAATTTAATATTAAGGGTATTTTATTTCTTTCACTCCCTTGTTCTCGTTTTTCTTTTCCATTTTCTTTTAGGGTTTTGTTTACCATGATTGGTCCGACAGTACCCAACTCAATTATTTGATCTTTAATTAATGTGTTCCAGAAAATGGTCCCTGTTATGCCATTTGTCTCTTCACCCCCTGTCCTCAACTTTGCTATCCTAAATCCATTAGTTTATTGCAATGTTCATTTCAGATTTGGAAAGAATTTAAAAGTTGACATTCAAAGTAAGAATTTCGTCCTGTGAAAAACTATTCA